CAACATCTGGGTAGACAATTTTGATTTGTTTACAGTTTTCTCAGTTTGTCTTGATTGTACGTGGGCTGATGTAGTGACTACGTATGCTCTTCTTACGTTTGTTCCGGCAAAACATTGCTTTTGTAAAGCTTGCTATCTTCTGCATCATATTTTGATGACTCCTATAGAAACCTCCTTAGCAATGCAAGGTAACGTAACCAACATATGACAGATACAAATCAGTTGATAGTGAAAATACATGTGTAGTTACTGTACTACTTCTCTTCATATAGCAGCAATAAAGCAAAACTACATCCCATTGGAACAACAATTTCCTCTTTTCTTGATAAACAATTCCAGACTCCATGTACGTGTACATGTCGTACATCAACATGCAGAAACACTGTTACAACATCCCTTCTAAACGAATTCGAAGTAGTACATGGTTGCAGTTTTCAATCTTCTTTTCTTGATTATTCTTGCTAGTGAGAATATACAGTAAATTCACACGTACATGTAAATATACTGGTTTTGTCCACTTCTCCAAAAACTTCCCCTGGCTATAGCACTATAATATAAGGGGATGCAAACTACATGAAAGTCAATCATCTGACAATTAAACGACAAAGTATTATTTCTTTTTCTATAGTAATAATACAGCACAACTAAACATCAAATCATTGGAACAACATTGTCCTCTTGATGTTTTCTTCAAAACAATTCCATCTACATCAAAACTAAGAACTACTGTCGCATCATCTCTTGTAGACAAATTTGATTTGTTTTCAAACATATTTTTTTTTTATTCTGTATTCTGGCTTGTGACGTAATAGAGTATATACACATATAGATATGCTGTTGGAACGCCTTGCTTTGAATTGTTTGTTTTCGCGTCACTATTTTATAAAACATTCACTTAGGCAAACACTAGCCTCCTCAACACTATAATATGTATAATAGAGTGTTACAACATATGACAGTCAACCAATCAATCAATAGTCCACAGCTGGGAGTAAAGGATACAGTCAGCTAGGTCGCAGTGAAAATATTTTCTTACAGCAACAACAAAGCAAAATTTAACATCGGATCATTGGAACAACATTGTCCTCTTGATGTTTTCGTAAAAAACAATTCCATCTACATCAAAACTGAGAAATAATGTTACATTCATCTCTTGTAGACGAGTTCGATTTGATTACATTTTTTCTATTTTTTTTTTATTTTTCATTCAGACTGGTGAGTTAATGTAGTAAATGCACATGCTCACCCGAGATTGTTTTTATCACTATTTTAGACCTGCTATATTTTTACATCATCATTTTATAAGTTCTGATAAACCAAAACATATTTTTCACACAACATATCATCATGCATGTTTACATCTACTAGAGTCTCTGGGTCGCTGTGCTCTGCGTAAATAAAGTGGTGCCACCTTCGAAATTATGTCTTGGAAAAAAATTTAAATTAAAATCTGTTTTCTATACAGTAATCCTTCTCATCATCAGCACGATGCCATTGTTTGGCTTGACTAAATTCAATTCTTTTCCTGGCGCAGACAACGATCGCAATGTTACATCTGAAAATGAATATTACAACTCTATATACACACTTCTAGTCACAAATATAAGATTTCTCCAGCGTTGAGTTCTTCAGAATAGGGGTCTTGGTCATTTTATGTTCTTCTGTATATGTCTGTCTTCGTCCTGTACCCCAATACGCTACTACTAAATCTACAATTTTACTACTAATCTATTCACTGCAGTACCACCCTACAACGTTTAACAGAAATTGTTGAAGGAATCGTGACTGCTTTCTAAATTTACATCGAACTTTGAAATGCATATGTCTAACATAGCCAGTACTTGTTGCTATTTTCTTGCATAAAATATTCATTCATTGTAACACACAAGCTCCGTTTTGGTCTATAATGAAAGTCCATCCCCTATCTGGAACCTAAAAGTTGTCTGATGTTGTTTGAGACATAACTCGACGATTCTACGTTGACATGCATTGACTTACTCTCAAACCGTGGCTTTTTTTGTTACTTCTTCAATGCAATATTGGGTTGAGTTTGAGTTCTCGTTACTTTGGTTTCTTGCAGATGAATGGTTTACGATCGCTGCATTTTCGGTCATTCCATTCTCCTTTGTACCTCTTTGCAGTAAAAATCCAGGCATCCCTTCCGTCCTGTAGAAAACATTATGACCAATTAAACAAATCGGTGTCTGTTCTATATGATCCATGACATTATGTGTCGTTTTCATATAGTTCTGTCTTAAAGTTGTCATTTCTTTCTTAGAAGTAGTCAACACTCGAAAACCACCTGTATGATTATGCAGGTTAGTGTAGGTAAAGTGGAGCTGTGCAGGTAAGTCTGGTGCCTTCCTGTTCCTATCCTCCCATGGGCTATGTGTTGGGTTTAGATATACATGTAGGTGAATGTGGATTTGCTGCATTGCCTGTTAACCGCCCATAAGGCCATGTTGATTTGATTATATGGATGACATCCGCGCGCGCATGAATTTGCGTCCGTTTCCAAAAAGACGTTTTCTATTTGACTATACTCTAAATCGTACAAAGTAGCCGCAAAATGAGGAAATATATATCGCCGTAAATTGAAATATTGGAAAATTATATGTCGCAGAATGCCAAAATCCATTCCAAATGACAAAAAATAATATGAAGGAATGAAAATGAAGAGTCTATGCCAATAAAATATTACTCTGTGTTTCGTCATTTGATCAACCTAGATTTCATAATGAAGGCAACTTTTTTGCCAAACTTTTGCCATGCTCGCATCAGCTTTGGGGTTCCCAGAGGATGTCATCCATATAATCTATTCAACATGGCCTAAAGTATAAAACAAATAATGGCAATGGCTTCTGGACAGCTTTAGCATAATCCATACTTCTTAATTTCTTAAGTGTTTCAGGCAAATTGTCTGAACCACATACATTGCGTGCATACAGAAAAAGCATTTCGGGACCTGGTTTACCTGGTTACTTTTTGTAGCCTTAGACAAGTTCAGGAGTACTGGGTGAAACAGCACACTTTCTTTCTTAGGGCTTCCAAAGATAAACCAAAGAACAGAAACACGTACGTTTTTGTAGATAACGACGCATTTTTCTCCGCCAGTAAACCATTTATTATCGTCAGGCTGACCCTCAGCCCAGTTCTTGTAGGAAACTGCTGACCCGTCCGTCCACTTCTTGTATTGTAGTCCTATCCAGACCATATCATCAGATGCACCTGCAAATAAAATGAGGCGTCTTTTTAGCCAAAGATAGCTCATTTTGTTTGTTTGCATACAAACAAAACATTTTATCAAAACGTAACAAACTACTTTTGTACTCATTACCTCCGGGGAAGGAGATGTTTCCTTCCGCAGAAGGTTGGCTGTTTCTGTTCGTGTTTGTGTGTTGGCAGCTGTATACCTAACGGTGGGTTGGACGGATTTCTTGCGTTCTCGGTATATGATTAGCTCTTGGGGTTCAGATTACATTTCTTGTAGCGTCACACTGAACATTGCTATTAGTGTGACATCAGCAAGTGTGACATCAGCAGTCGTTGTGATAGTTTTATACTTCCTGGAGGTTTTGATCTCTGATTTATTGTTGTTGTAAAAGTACCTTTCCTAAAGACACAACTTGCTAGGGATTCGAACCAAGAATCTTGTCATTTTTAAGTCAACAACGCTAACGACTGCAAGGTCACTATTGTATCCAGAATCGTACCTACCAGTTCTATGCATGAAAGTGGTTATGTACATATGTAGGGTTACGGACGATTATGAAACTGTCTCCGCGTATCCAAAAACGTATGACTATCCAGAACCGTGTCTCAGCTTGGTTCCGATTAAATGTTTAGATGAATAATAAATGAATGAATATTCGAATGAATTGTTTGTTTCTGCAAAACATTGCGGACGTATAGCTGAAATATGTTTTACGTACATAAGTTAAATACATTCATAGGTACAACAGCTACCATGTATTACACCACCCTTTCTTCCAAGTCTGGAACCCAAACATTCAAATCGAATTAGCGCCACTTAAAACAATACTTTCATCTCGGAAGTAATAAAGTTAGGTTGTTTGTGTAAGGGACACCATCCTGTGGAAATGGAGCCAAAGAGTTGTACAATACTCACCAGATATGATACTTGCAATGAAGTTGTTCTCTTGGCCGTCCCTGATAGAAGCGAGATTCGCGTCCATTCCTTTGCACCTTTGGTTCGCTGTACTGAAGCTGACTTTCTCGTTCATCAGCTTGTAGCAGTGGTTGTTGTGTTCCCTCCACCCATGCTGACAGGGCCGGGCTACAACAGACGGGGCAATGGTCAGTGTATATCAAAGTGGTCGCGGAATGAGCCGGAACAGCGTTCGAATTTGATCACACATTTTGATCATATAGGAGAACCAAAATGGGTCTGAATATATATTTGGAGTAAACCCTGAATTTTCAGAATGCACATCGAATATAGCCGGGATCATTTAGACGGCATTCCTGTTCCTTTCACCACTCGTGTAAAGAGGCTATATACAGTGCCAAACAAGAGTCTCTTTTTATGTGGATGTGTCCAAGCAGAAAAAAACGAGCTCGACTTGGATAGATCATCTATGATTTAAGGTGTAAATGCTAGTAATTTTCAAATCATAACCCATGGGCCAAACCCAACTGCAAAACATCATTTTTCTGTACTAGTCTATAAAGAAAAAGTGTTTAGATGATCACACATATATCATATGACATTTATACAGATCTCGTGCCTCCTGCTTATGACTGATGTGCTAGTGTATGTGGCTCCAGGCATATAAACATCAGCAAATTGTACTTACCACACGTGGTCACTCATTACCTCTGTGGCAAGTCTTGAAGGAAACAACTCACTCTACTGGCCTCTCTTACAGAGGAAGTCGTATTGATATTCTTCTTGATTACAAAAATGGATTTACATTCAATTACAAGGAGTATCATTTAGTGGAAGAAGGAGCTAAATGCTTTGCAATTATATAACTGACCTTGGTGACAGTTCTGTCCAATCCATCCATGTGAGCAGGTACATTTGTATCCTCCATCTTGGTTCACACAGTGTCCATGTTGACATGGGTTCCTGTTACACTCATTTATGTCTGTTTTATGATGAAAAAGTGGTATGACTAAATGAAGTGATAATTTGTTACTTAAAGCATGACTTTGGGCAAAAGATTTGGTGGGAGCAGAACATGGAAAAATGCATTCATTTGGGTCTTTGTGATAATGGAAAAATATGTCATCGCCAAATGAAACCGATTGAAGCATAGTTTAAAAAAATATCTGAAGACTGGAAATAGGATATGAAATCAACATATTGTAAAACTTCCTTTGAAGCGACTTTGATAACATTAAGGGACAGCTCACCTTGCTGACAGTTCTGTCCAGTCCATCCATGTGAGCAGCTGCATGTATATCCGCCAACGTGATTCGCACAGGTTCCATGCTGACATGGGCTCCTGCTGCACTCATTTATGTCTGTTTTATGATGAAAAAATCTTATTACTAAATGAAGTTGATACGTTACTTAAAGCATGATCTTAAACAAAAGTTTCAAGATTTGGGAGCAGAACATGGAAAAATAATTAATTCATTTGGGTTTATAGCTTTGTGATGGAAAAATATATAATCACCAAATGAAGATGGTTAAAAAAAGTCTGAATACTGGGAGTAAGATATGAAATCTACTGAAAACCACATTTTAAGACTTCCTTTGAAGCAACTTTAATGAAATTAAGGGACATCTCACCTTGCTGACAGTTCTGTCCAGTCCATCCAGATGAGCAGGTACATTTGTATCCGCCATCTTGGTTCACACAGATTCCATAATGGCACGGTTTGCTGGCACACTCATTTATGTCTGTGTGATGAAAAACACAAATCTTGATCTTATTTTAATTGGAGTTAATTGAATGAACTCTTGGCAATGGCAATTTGATTCTATTCAGATATTAAGCTAAATTCAATCCACGTTTTAAGTCTGTTGCTGAACAATTAATTA